GCGTTTCAATTTCCATTCCATCAGCGACTCCAATTTCAAGTATGTTATTCCATGAAGAAGGTATTTTATTTTCGAAAGTAAATGCTTACGAAATATCATTATTATCACATTCAAGATAACAATGTCTAAGAACAGCGCATTCATGACAACCTAAATGAATGTGTCACACTCAGATCTGTTTAATATTAAAAAGAAATGATAAATAAATATGAATAGTAAAATCAAAATAGAAAAATAGCAAATAGAAAATAGAAACTATAAGATACGGGACAGAAAAAAATTGTAGCCCAAACATTGTTTAACTATAAATAGTATTATACTTAGGCAACAAATATTTTATCACGATGTGGATTGCTTATCATATAATTATGTTTATTAGTATACTGCATATTACATTATAAAATTATGCTTCAGATGGGTCAGGCTCAATTGGTGCAAAGGCGCAAGTACTAGGACATGTTAAATCTTGGTAATAGACAGTCGTTATAATCATTGTGAAACACCTACATGCCAATGGTAAGCGCGGTTCGTGGGAATATCGTTACTCATGCGAACCCTAACAGAATGAGTTGGATCAGCTACGTAATGAATTAAATTCGCTTAAGTCAGTTCCATTAGCTATAATATCAGGGTTGTCAAATGGCATGACTGATATAGGAGAGGATAAAAGATGAAATGATGATCATTTTTCGATGCATAAGTTGGCCAGACATGCATGAAACGTTGATTGCATTTCGGGAAGTGCTTCCTCAAAATGTTGTATAATTCCTCTAAGATTAAATGTAGCGGAATATTACACTAGTCCATTGCTTGGAGAGGTTAAGGAGAAGTGATTTCATGGTATTTAAGCTGCTGGAGTTCCTGATGAATCTGGTAATGGTTTGTTTAAGAAGTCACCTCATAATCATTAGGAACGCTGTCAGTAGTTGGTACTCATTGTATGCCTTCGTATAAATATGAAAGCGTGTTGTACGCCGGAGTGTCAGACAATGTGTAACGCCTCCAAGATCAAATTTCTTTATGCAAAACGCATCTGACACTAAAGGTACTTACGTACCACAGACGAATGGCCTACTTAAATGGCTCCCGTAGGCAACTAGGAGTAAAAGAGACGGCAGAACAATGTCATTAAATTTGATCTTGGATGGGTTATGTTGTTTAAGATACTCTGACGTGCGAGCAATTTTTATCTTTAAATGATTCACTTTACTTCATTAATAAGATATTTTTTCCCATCATTTTGAGAAGTTCACAACTGTGTGCTTCCATAAATCTGCGCTGACTGCAGCTACTGTAATTGTTCCCCGTGAAAGTAAACGTTAGAGGTATCCTATATTTTTAGATTTCTGTTAAGCATAGCATCATACCTCTGATATGACATGCCTTCAAGCTCATTGTCACCCAAGCAAAAAGGTTCAAATAATTTTCAATTCGATGTGTGAATCACGTCGATCAAATTACGCTCAAAATCTGCTCAGTTAAACATAGAATCGTCTGCATTACGATCTGCATTTCGATGAAGAAAAGGATTGACGATATCTTTAAAATTAACTGACCGTAAATTCAATCAGTTAAACTGGTTGACAATGCGAAGCGATGACAAGTTTTTATATAAGCAAACAGCAAACTGGAAACACAAAATGCATTGATGTCAAGTTTCATTCTTTAATGTAGTAATATAGTGTCTGCAAAGCATATATTTATTTACAGTCAAATTTTTTCGCATATGTGTAGCCACCAAACACTAAACATTAAATAAACTAGAGCCTTTCAAACACAGATCTCGCCAATTTCATTGACCTCAAAAAAAAAAGTTACCAGTAATTTGTCAACAACAGTGTCAAAGCTGTTTTCAGCAGAGCAAAATTCTTACACAAGACGAATCAACACGACAATGATATTTACGCCATAAGCAACTAACATAGAAATACGAAATACAAAACAAATTTGTATTACGTTAGTACATTTATGTTCGAAAAGCGTTTTTTATTTTTTAAGCAACTGCGTCAGCTTTGGGACAACCTTAAAATGAAATATAATTTCCCCAGTAAAGGGATGTGTTTTTTACCTCAAACAGATCTGCGGTCAAACTGAAGTCGGCAAACTGATGGATGGGTGCATCTGCGTCTTTATTGATGGCCACGATCGTTTTACTCTCACGAATTCCTGCAATGTGCTGGATAGCGCCAGAGATGCCGACTGCAATATAAAGTTCCTAAAAGTCCGTCGAAACAAAAATGTATGATCCACTGAATCAAGTAAAATTTAATTACTATGCAGCTTAAAAGCCAAGATTTCATTAGGTGTACCAAACGATCAATATGGTCATGTATTTTAATGCAACAGAATTACGACATATAACCAGCAGCAGTTCATCACAAGTGAAAAATGGCATTATTGCATTCAAGAAGAAAAAACGTTGAAACGCAATTTAAACAGCGGTACTGATTTCTTTCTGATGCAAGAAACGGCCACAGCGGCCCAAAAATAGATTAAATCATCACGATTCGATTAAAAATTGCTGTTTTTATTACTGTATTCAGGCAGTAATTAACTTAACTTAAAAAGCAATACATTGGCATATATAAAATACCCTAAACAATTTACTTTCGCATTTAGCTTGAAGAAAATACAAAAGTTCGCATGCTGGATTAGGCATGGCAGAATATACTGCCTCCAACTGCTACTGAATAACAATGGCTTATGTTGAACTGACATGGCAGCAGCAAGTAGAGAATTAAAGCTTGTCTCTGACTAAAAAGTAACTCTATCTAGAAGAAAAACTTAGTCGCACTGCAATCCAGAATTAAACCATAATGAAGTACTGGGAAAACATTCCTTTATTTCGACTAAGTTAGTCCACTCAAAGGAAAAAACCAAAATAAAACGCATGGAAGGCACTGAAAAGAAATTCACTCATCCTACCTTGATAGCACAACGCCAGGAAAAGCGGAATTATGCGTTTTGTCCTCAACCCTGGGAAGTGAGGAAGAAGCTTCGCTAATCAAAACGGTATTATTTTCTACCTTCTGAAGAAGCACGCAGCTACAAAACGCCAATTACAGAATAAACTCACATATGACATAATCCTTGAAATATGTGAAGGATTTTATTCACTTGAATCATTCAAGAATGTTTCAAAGGCACACAATTGAAAAGTTGAAAACAATAAGAAAACATCTGGAGAAAACACTTACAAGTACAGTTGTAGGCGTACCACTAGACAATGTTAATGCCTCAGATACCAGCCTCCGCTTAGCCATCCAACTCATCAGATAATTTGCAATATCATCCGTTACTACTGTACAACAAATGGCTGATTCACCTTGTCTCTCAAACATTTTCGATAAAGCCTAGTGTACAGCAAACAACTGTTTCCTGCAGCTGCTGAAATGTTTAAAAACGATTTCACTTGAAAAGGAAACAGTAGAGACGATCATCGAAAGCTGAAAAGTTTTCCTGCACGTTTC